CTCACCTCAGCCTCCCAAAGGCGCGGGATTACAGGCTGAGCCACCGAGCCCGGCTTCCGGGCACCTCCTTAAAGATGATGAACTATTTAAGACTGGCATTCCCATCATCTGGCTGAAGAAATCAACCCTTGCTGAGATAGCCACAGCACTGGTGACCCCTTCTGTCCTTCAGCCACTCTCCTGAAAGTCGTGCTTGCCATTCCCATGTGCATTTCACGTGGTTCCCACCTGTGTGTCCACTCCTAAAGCATGTGGAAGCCGCTTCTGCCAACCTAAAAGCTTTATGTGGCACATGTGTCATGCAGCATGTAATATGTCCATGTGGAAGTGAAGTGTGTAGCTCCAGTTTATTTGTCTCACCGTTATCTGTTATTCCATTAAAATGAACATATTGGCCAGGCGCGGTGGCTCAAGCCTGTGATCCCAGCACTTTAGGAGGCTGAGGTGAGGTGATTGTTTGATCCCAGAGGTTCGAGACCAGCCTGAGCAACTTGGTGAGACCTTGTCTCTATAACAAATAAAAAAAATTTAACCGGACATGGTGAAGCATGCCTGTGGTTCGAGCTACTTGGAAGACTGAGGTGGAATGATTGTCTGAGCCCAGCAGGTCGAGGCTGCAGTGGCCATGAGCGTGCCGCTGCACTCTAGCCTGGGCAACAGAGTGAGACTCTAACTCAAAAAGTAAAATGAAATAAAATTAATATATTGTAGCTCACCGCTTCCTGTTCTGTTAGACATCAGACTGTTTCTAGGTTTTGTTTTTTGGATTTTTTGCTATTACAAACAGTTTTGCTATAAACGTTTGGACATAACTCCTGTGTATACGTGTGCTAGTTCTCTAATGGTGTAGATTTGCTGAGTCTTAAGCTGTGTTCCTCTTCAACTGTACTTAGTTTTGCCAAATTGTTTTCTACAGTAGTTAGAGCTCCTTCTACTTCAGACACATTGCTTTGTTCATGCACCGTAGCATATGGTGTGTGCCATTGTAGTGCAGCATTGTTGAGAAGACTCTTGGGGTCACAGAGCTGGCAGGTATCTGACTGTACACAGCTCACAGAATAAACTAAAATGCCTCTTGTGGAAAAATTGAGATTTCCTGTTTTGGGCCAATGACAATGACTTCTCAGTCATTTGCTCCACGTAACTCTGGGCTGCTTGGATCTAGCTTGTGCTGTGGTGCATTTATTTCCTTGTTTGTTCACTCGTGTCCTTAACCTATACCAAGAACCCCTAAGTCGCAGGGCATCTTTCTTTTTTTTTTTTTTTTTTTT